GACACAACAGGTTGTGGACGCACATATCGGCATCACCGTGCAATCCGCCCCTTTGCTGCTCTCCTAAGCCAACACCCGACCTTCACAATTTTGTACAGTCACGCAAAGAAAAAATGAATGGGTGCAGGGCTTTACCACTTCCCTTTAAAGGCCTCGGAGACACAACAGGTTGTGGACGCACATATCGGCATCACCGTGCAATCCGCCCCTTGGCTGCTCTCCTAAGCCAACACCCGACCTTTACAATTTTGTTCAGTCACGCAAAGAAAAAATGAATGGGTGCAGGGCTTTACCACTTCCCTTTAAAGGCCTCGGAGACACAACAGGTAGTGGACGCACATATCGGCATCACCGTGCAATCCGCCCCTTTGCTGCTCTCCTAAGCCAACACCCGACCTTCACAATTTTGTACAGTCACGCAAAGAAAAAATTAATGGGTGCAGGGCTTTACCACTTCCCTTTAAAGGCCTCGGAGACACAACAGGTTGTGGACGCACATATCGGCATCACCGTGCAATCCGCCCCTTTGCTGCTCTCCTAAGCCAACACCCGACCTTCACAATTTTGTACAGTCACGCAAAGAAAAAATGAATGGGTGCAGGGCTTTACCACTTCCCTTTAAAGGCCTCGGAGACACAACAGGTTGTGGACGCACATATCGGCATCACCGTGCAATCCGCCCCTTTGCTGCTCTCCTAAGCCAACACCCGACCTTCACAATTTTGTACAGTCACGCAAAGAAAAAATTAATGGGTGCAGGGCTTTACCACTTCCCTTTAAAGGCCTCGGAGACACAACAGGTTGTGGACGCACATATCGGCATCACCGTGCAATCCGCCCCTTTGCTCCTCTCCTAAGCAAACACCCGACCTTCACAATTTTGTACAGTCACGCAAAGAAAAAATTAATGGGTGCAGGGCTTTACCACTTCCCTTTAAAGGCCTCGGAGACACAACAGGTTGTGGACGCACATATCGGCATCACCGTGCAATCCGACCCTTTGCTGCTCTCCTAAGCAAACACCCGACCTTCACAATTTTGTACAGTCACGCAAAGAAAAAATGAATGGGTGCAGGGCTTTACCACTTCCCTTTAAAAGCCTCGGAGACACAAGTTGTGGACGCACATATCGGCATCACCGAGCAATCCGCCCCTTTGCTGCTCTCCTAAGCCAACACCCGACCTTTACAATTTTGTTCAGTCACGCAAAGAAAAAATGAATGGGTGCAGGGCTTTACCACTTCCCTTTAAAGGCCTCGGAGACACAACAGGTTGTGGACGCACATATCGGCATCACCGTGCAATCCGCCCCTTTGCTGCTCTCCTAAGAAAACACCCGACCTTCACAATTTTGTTCAGTCACGCAAAGAAAAAATGAATGGGTGCAGGGCTTTACCACTTCCCTTTAAAGGCCTCGGAGACACAACAGGTTGTGGACGCACATAGCGGCATCACCGTGCAATCCGCCCCGTTGCTGCTCTCCTAAGCAAACACCCGACCTTCACAATTTTGTGCAGTCACGCAAAGAAAAAATGAATGGGTGCAGGGCTTTACCACTTCCCTTTAAAGGCCTCGGAGACACAACAGGTTGTGGACGCACATATCGGCATCACCGTGCAATCCGCCCCTTTGCTGCTCTCCTAAGCAAACACTCAGCCTTTACAATTTTGTTCAGTCACGCAAAGAAAAAATGAATGGGTGCAGGGCTTTACCACTTCCCTTTAAAGGCCTCGGAGACACAACAGGTTGTGGACGCACATATCGGCATCACCGAGCAATCCGCCCCTTTGCTGCTCTCCTAAGCAAACACCCGACCTTCACAATTTTGTTCAGTCACGCAAAGAAAAAATGAATGGGTGCAGGGCTTTACCACTTCCCTTAAAAGGCCTCGGAGACACAACAGGTTGTGGACGCACATATCGGCATCACCGTGCAATCCGCCCCTTTGCTGCTCTCCTAAGCAAACACCCGACCTTCACAATTTCGTTCAGTCACGCAAAAAAAAAATGAATGGGTGCAGGGCTTTACCACTTCCATTTAAAGGCCTCGGAGACACAACAGGTTGTGGACGCACATAGCGGCATCACCGTGCAATCCGCCCCTTTGCTGCTCTCCTAAGCCAACACCCGACCTTTACAATTTTGTTCAGTCACGCAAGGAAAAAATGAATGGGTGCAGGGCTTTACCACTTCCCTTTAAAGGCCTCGGAGACACAACAGGTTGTGGACGCACATATCGGCATCACCGTGCAATCCGCCCCTTTGCTGCTCTCCTAAGCAAACACCCGACCTTCACAATTTCGTTCAGTCACGCAAAAAAAAATGAATGGGTGCAGGGCTTTACCACTTCCCTTTAAAGGCCTCGGAGACACAACAGGTTGTGGACGCACATATCGGCATCACCGTGCAATCCGCCCCTTTGCTGCTCTCCTAAGCCAACACCCGACCTTTACAATTTTGTTCAGTCACGCAAGGAAAAAATGAATGGGTGCAGGGCTTTACCACTTCCCTTTAAAGGCCTCGGAGACACAACAGGTTGTGGACGCACATATCGGCATCACCGAGCAATCCGCCCCTTTGCTGCTCTCCTAAGCCAACACCCGACCTTTACAATTTCGTTCAGTCACGCAAAGAAAAAATGAATGGGTGCAAGGCTTTACCACTTCCCTTTAAAGGCCTCGGAGACACAACAGGTTGTAGACGCACATATCGGCATCACCGTGCAATCCGCCCCTTTGCTGCTCTCCTAAGCAAACACCCGACCTTCACAATTTTGTACAGTCACGCAAAGAAAAAATTAATGGGTGCAGGGCTTTACCACTTCCCTTTAAAGGCCTCGGAGACACAACAGGTTGTGGACGCACATAGCGGCATCACCGTGCAATCCGCCCCGTTGCTGCTCTCCTAAGCAAACACCCGACCTTCACAATTTTGTACAGTCACGCAAAGAAAAAATGAATGGGTACAGGGCTTTACCACTTCCCTTTAAAGGCCTCGGAGACACAACAGGTTGTGGACGCACATATCGGCATCACCGTGCAATCCGCCCCTTTGCTGCTCTCCTAAGCAAACACCCAGCCTTTACAATTTTGTACAGTCACACAAAGAAAAAATTAATGGGTGCAGGGCTTTACCACTTCCCTTTAAAGGCCTCGGAGACACAACAGGTTGTGGACGCACATATCGGCATCACCGTGCAATCCGCCCCTTTGCTGCTCTCCTAAGCAAACACCCGACCTTCACAATTTTGTACAGTCACGCAAAGAAAAAATGAATGGGTGCAGGGCTTTACCACTTCCCTTTAAAAGCCTCGGAGACACAAGTTGTGGACGCACATATCGGCATCACCGTGCAATCCGCCCCTTTGCTGCTCTCCTAAGCAAACACCCGACCTTCACAATTTTGTACAGTCACGCAAAGAAAAAATGAATGGGTGCAGGGCTTTACCACTTCCCTTTAAAAGCCTCGGAGACACAAGTTGTGGACGCACATATCGGCATCACCGAGCAATCCGCCCCTTTGCTGCTCTCCTAAGCCAACACCCGACCTTTACAATTTTGTTCAGTCATGCAAAGAAAAAATGAATGGGTGCAGGGCTTTACCACTTCCCTTTAAAGGCCTCGGAGACACAACAGGTTGTGGACGCACATATCGGCATCACCGTGCAATCCGCCCCTTTGCTGCTCTCCTAAGCCAACACCCGACCTTCACAATTTTGTACAGTCACGCAAAGAAAAAATGAATGGGTGCAGGGCTTTACCCCTTCCCTTTAAAGGCCTCGGAGACACAACAGGTTGTGGACGCACATATCGGCATCACCGTGCAATCCGCCCCTTGGCTGCTCTCCTAAGCCAACACCCGACCTTTACAATTTTGTTCAGTCACGCAAAGAAAAAATGAATGGGTGCAGGGCTTTACCACTTCCCTTTAAAGGCCTCGGAGACACAACAGGTAGTGGACGCACATATCGGCATCACCGTGCAATCCGCCCCTTTGCTGCTCTCCTAAGCCAACACCCGACCTTCACAATTTTGTACAGTCACGCAAAGAAAAAATTAATGGGTGCAGGGCTTTACCACTTCCCTTTAAAGGCCTCGGAGACACAACAGGTTGTGGACGCACATATCGGCATCACCGTGCAATCCGCCCCTTTGCTGCTCTCCTAAGCCAACACCCGACCTTCACAATTTTGTACAGTCACGCAAAGAAAAAATGAATGGGTGCAGGGCTTTACCACTTCCCTTTAAAGGCCTCGGAGACACAACAGGTTGTGGACGCACATATCGGCATCACCGTGCAATCCGCCCCTTTGCTGCTCTCCTAAGCCAACACCCGACCTTCACAATTTTGTACAGTCACGCAAAGAAAAAATTAATGGGTGCAGGGCTTTACCACTTCCCTTTAAAGGCCTCGGAGACACAACAGGTTGTGGACGCACATATCGGCATCACCGTGCAATCCGCCCCTTTGCTCCTCTCCTAAGCAAACACCCGACCTTCACAATTTTGTACAGTCACGCAAAGAAAAAATTAATGGGTGCAGGGCTTTACCACTTCCCTTTAAAGGCCTCGGAGACACAACAGGTTGTGGACGCACATATCGGCATCACCGTGCAATCCGACCCTTTGCTGCTCTCCTAAGCAAACACCCGACCTTCACAATTTTGTACAGTCACGCAAAGAAAAAATGAATGGGTGCAGGGCTTTACCACTTCCCTTTAAAGGCTTCGGAGACACAACAGGTTGTGGACGCACATATCGGCACCACCGTGCAATCCGCCCCTTTGCTGCTCTCCTAAGCAAACACCTGACCTTCACAATTTTGTACAGTCACGCAAAGAAAAAATTAATGGGTGCAGGGCTTTACCCTTTCCCTCAAAGGCCTCAGAGAGACAACAAGTTATGGATGCACATATCGGCATCACCGTGAAATCGACCCCTTTGCTGCTCTCCTAAGCAAACAGCCGGCACATACTACCCTGCAAATGAGAAGCGAAAAGAGCTAATAAAGATGGTCAAAATTTGTGTGAATGTCAATATGCTCCAGGTCGTTGTCCAGAAGTTGTTGAGTGATGACTTCTTTCTGGAGTACTGTTGGCTTTGCTAGGCTGGGTTCTGGAGCTGACAGTCCAGGCTTCTTCGTTGAGTGGAACCTCTTCAGCTTTTCAACAAGCTTGTTTGCTGGTTCTTTCGTCACTTCAGGAAAGCTGCCCGTACCGTCCTTGCTCTCTGCCAGAATCTCCACTGCATCCGATATCAGCTTCTTCGCTCTGCGAACAGCCTCCTTTGAACAGTCTCCACCTGAAAGATGCCCAATTGCTGTCTGGGCGATACCAATCGTTTCTGTTGTTTCCGAGACCTGCGAGAAGCTTGTCGTCGCCTGCAGGTCCTTGATGCTTTCAAGCATGTGATCCTGGTCGTTTACCATGACTGGAGTCATCTCACAAACGCTCGTGGAGGGCAGAGTTTCCTGGGCTACTGCAGAGACTTTGAGAATGACGGCATGACGGCGCGTGCTTGCATATCGTCAAGCACGCGACGTGTTCAAGACATGTGCAGGTGTAGTCATGGACACACGTCTTGCAAGCTTCGCATTGCAGATGGCAGCCTTTGCACTTCTCACCCTGAACCCTTGAAACCCTGTACACCAGGCTATTTATGGACTGCGATTTCACACTCCATGCATCTCCTTCCAAAAGAAGTACATCCTTGACGTCCATCTTCAGAGCTGCTAGGTGGCTCCTGTTGATTCGAGCGATTCTGGTGGTGGGCTTGCCTTTGCAGAGCTTGACTAGTCGCTGGAACAACTTGTCATACGTCATGTCGATGAGTGCTGAAATCAGCTTGTCCACACGCTTGTTTTTCTTTCCTTCAAGGTAGCAGTGCTTCAGGGTCTTGTGCATGGCTTCTATGTACATGTTGGTGTTGATGCCTGCTCCTTTTCTGTAACAAAAAGCCCAAAGATGGGGACGTTTGGCATAGTGGGCCTTGAAGTAGTCCAAAAAGAGCTTCAGAGAGGGGTCCTTGCAGTCCACGAAAGCCTTCAAGAGCTCTTCAAACTCTTCCTGGTCTTGGCATTCCAGCAGGACCCTTACTGCCTTGTAGACAGAGGCCATGAGTTCTTGGCCTTCAACCAGCTTCCTGATGTTTAATTTCCAGTTTTTGTCCACGTGCCATGTGCAGAGCAGCTGTCTTTCGGCAGGTGACATCACAGCTGACCAGGCATTATAGAACTCTGAAGCATCGTCAGACATGAAAACCTTTGCAGAGATAACTCCAACTGCCTCCCGAACAGCCTCAAAAAATATCTTCATCATGATTGCGTCGGCCCTGTTACTAAGAAGGTAGGCACAAGGCACCCCAGAACCGAACTCGTCCACGACCAGCAGGGTGGTAAGTAGGAAGTCATAGCCAGTGGTCCCTGCAAATGTGATTGTACGGGACATCATTGAGTTCCTGACATTATGCGCACCAAACTCACTAATGAAACTTGCTGAAGGTGATTGCTACACACATTCCTGATGTCATCCATGGGCACTGGCACCAACTATGGCTCATGCAGCTTACTCTTTACGAACCTGCCTGACTTAAATATGCGGACTGCATGTTTTGCATCCACAAGGCATACACAAGTCAAAGGAGCCGAGAGTGATTGACACAGTTGAGGCATGACGAAATGGCAACCAGGTGTTAAGCGCTTTATACTGCTGCCCTTGGGCATATTTGGTCCCCTTTGACAAACTTTGACAAGTTTCTTGAAACTGTTGACGGTGCAGATCTATTCTCACACGATGCAATTTTTGAAAGTGCAATGGTTTTGCTAAACATTGGATAGTTTACTTGTCCAGTTTGATTTGCAACAATAAATTGTTACCACAAGAATGTAGTGAAAAATGCAACCTGATAGGGACCATTTAAAGGGCCACTGACATCCCACCAAAATCTTTTTCAACTTTTTGCTAGTCAATTAATTTATGGTGTCCGAATCAATATTTTGCATCACATATATTTTAATAAAGTAAAGAAATGCAACTGCTCGAAACCAAAACTGGGCTGGAGGGGAAGAAACATAGAGGAGGAGGGAGTTCTCTATATTTCTTCTTCCTCCCCAGCCCAGTTTTGCCAGAGTTGCCGGAAGTCACGTGGCTGCACATTTTTCAATGGCTCAGCAATGTTTGCAAAGCCATGAAAAATGGGTGTCGTATTTTTTTTTTCTACTTTTAATTTTGAGTGTGCCTTTGATGACACACAACCGATTATATTTAGTAGACTGTGGTTGTGTTTAAACCACAAGAAACAGCACATGACCACAGAGAAGACAGTGAGTGCAATTCAAACCAGCTAGTTTTCGATTGGCGGTTTTCAGGCAGAAAGGAAACTAATTTCGAGCCACAAATCCTGTTCTGGGTAGTTGGCCTCTCATATGTCATGTACAAATAAAAACCTTGGCGAGCACAAATACCCTCTCAGTGGCCCTTTAAGGTGGCTTTCTTAACTTTCAATGAAATTCCCTAAAAAAGTGGCTCAGGCTTCAAAAAGGCAGTTGCCATCAAGAAAACTAAACACTTGCGAAATTTAGGAACTTTCCCACTAGGTTAACATCACTCATTTCACCATTCAGATTCATCTGCTTCACAAGGCAATCAGAACCTTGTATCAATTTAGGTTCAAGGAATGACAAATATGTGCCACATAAATTTTAATGTCAAAATCTCCCTTTGCATAAGAGTTTAATCTTGAAGCATGCAGAATCAGTCAATTCAGAACTTGTCAAGCAAGCACTGTAGGTTTGTATTAAGGCCGTGTCTACAGTGCCGTCCTATGGCACTCCACTCGTGCCACAATTGCCGTCCGAAAGAGTCGGACGGCGCATGTACCACTCGGAGCTCGGGAGACACTGGCCAGAGGTTGAACTTCTGAACTACTCAAGTGATCGGAATGAAATTTTCACAAGAAATAGAACTTGAGATGAAGGTGTACCATGCAAACTTCCAGCTCTCTAGGACGACTTTACATACCTGCATAAGATGATGCGTCACTCTTTGTTAAGAAATCTATAATATGCAAATGAAGCTATTAAGCATCATTTTAACTGCTTGAATATAAAGTATAAAGTGAATATAAGACTTCGGGCTATCTAGTTTTTATAACTCAAATGTAAATATTTTACGAAGAGTGGTTACCTCAAAATATGAGATGCATCACTGTCCTGTCAGTTTTTGAAAACATTGCTTTTTCTCAATGAGGGCTTTAACTTAAAACAAAATGAAGTAGATAGCCCAATTCCCCAGTAGATTTCAGTTTAAAAAGATCTTGATTGTGATATCAGAATAATTTTACCTTCGAACAAAAGATTCCTTCGTATGAAATTTGCAGCAAAAAGCGGAACTGAGAAAAATGCATTCAAACATTGAACTCCTTTACTTCATTAGTGTCCCACAATGTGTTGAAAATATATTATATCAACGTAACTATTTGGCGCATGGTTATGAAGTTTAGTGTGAGGGTGTATAATTAGTTTATAAAAACGAAAACCTCAAAATTGAAAAATGAATTTTTTCAAAAAATTTTGAAACTTAGGCCTATGTCTCTCCTTAATACCCCCTCCCTCACTCCCTCCCTCCCTCCCTCCTCCTCCCCCCCCCCCCCCCCCCCCCAATGCGTACACGCCGCTTCGCGGCCGACAGTATGCGGCTGCTAATTACAAAACTATTGACCGATTTGGCCCCAGCGTACACGCCGCTTTGCAGAGTCCAGCCGGCAAACCAAACCCCGTTGTCACCCGTGCACCTCCGGAAACGAAGTCCCATGCAATTTTGTTCAGCGAAGTTTCGTCAACAACATTGGTTTTTTCCAGTGTTAATCGTAAGAAAGAAATGCAAATATCGCCAAATGCATGAAGAAAACAAAATCTTTAAGAAAAAAAAATAGTAATCCCCCACTGGGGATTCAACCTGGGACCCCTTGCTTATTAGGCAGACATCTTACCACTAAGTTACACTACAGCTTCGAAAATTTGTTGTGAGAACTCGTTTTATACGAGACTTTCGGACGGCACTTGAACGCGTAAGTGGAGTGCCGTCGGACGGCTTTCGGACGGCACTTAAACGCGTGAGAGGAGTACCGTCGGACGGCACTTGAACGCTTTGCAACAGTGCCGTCGGACGGTACTCTAGGCACTACGCAGCATTAATTAATCAACTGAATCATACAAAGCCAGGTGCCCTTCATCAACACAAGCCATCACTCCTTGGTCATCATACTTCCTATATCTACCTTATCTTAAAAAAAAAGAGCAAATACATTAAAAAAGAATATCTCAGACCATCTAACATACTTCTGCTATGTTATCCCTCGATTTTCAAGATGCTGTTAAATTTGCCATTTGTCAAACCTGCAAACTGTTGTAGTTAGGTTTGCCATTTGTCAAACCTGCAAACTGTTGTAGTTAAATTTGCAGTTAGCATTTGTCAAACTGCGAACTGTTGTAGTTAATGCCGCCAGTAAGGAATCATTACAAATGCTGCATTTTATAATGAAAAAAAATGCATTGTCCAGTTGCACTAAAATTGTTTGATTTGTAACAATGTTCTTATGAATAAACCGCGCACTTCATTATATGCTAATTGGGACAATTCAGTTGGCTCTATGTAGGAAGAGGTGATTGTATGATATAAAAGAGAATGAAGAGATCTTCAATATGAAAAAGAAATTAGGCATATCACTTTCACATAGATTGTAGTTTGAAGGGAATAACCCGAAATAGGGGGTCAATCTATTATCACAGCGAATCAATGCCACAGTGGACTGAGCCGGAACGACCAAGCTATCTAAAACCCATTGCTACGAGACAGACCAGACATCACCAACCACATTCACTGACTCCTTATTTTGCTTGCACCAATCTTTTCAAATTTTCCTTTTTTCCAAGAACAATCAATGACTGGAATTCTCTGCCCCACTGAGTCACTTCCTTCTTCCTACCTCATGATCATATAGGTTTTTACTGGTAATGTGTATCTTGCTCTTGGAGGCTTCTTGTCCTGTATTTTTGCATTTGTTATTTACTGTATATTTTAACCTAGTGGCCTTTTTTTGTATCTTTTGTTGAAGACTGTTTTTTATTGTGTATTTTACGATCTGTATTCACTCCTGCTTGGACCATTTAGGTCCGCAGTATGTCATAAATAAATAAAATAAAAATTTGTTTACATTTGCTGGACAGCTTTGTCGACCATGACATGAAATGTTTTTACGAAGCGATTGTCTTGAAGAGTAAGATTTTTTTTCCTCACAACTTTGACGTAACATGTGCCCTTCAACCCAATTTATTTTTATTGTCGGACATGAAAAACTGAGTTGGTCAACCTACAATGAAGTTCCACTTACAATTGTGTAAATACACTTATAAATATGCAAAAACATATCCAGAGCAAGGTATATGGTAGCACCCGTGAGACCACAGATACGTACTCTGTTGCAAACATACCATGAGTAGAGTCAATGCATATCTTGTCAGTCCCAAGCTTCTGGAGCAGCTCCTGCTGGGGTTCAGTCATCAGAACCAGGGCGAAATCTCGTTCACTCAGCTGGCCAGTTGGATCAGCCATCCCTAATGTGGAGAGTGGTGAGGAATCATTCAGAAGCATGCCACTCATTTTTCTACTTGTGCACGCTTTGAATACTTGTCAACAGCTTATCCAGCTTAAAGGGGTACGGAAACAAAAATTGAAATACTAAAAGTTCGTTCAGAAATGAGTCAAGCATGACGGATAATAACCGTAAATGATAATCGCATGTTTGCATTTTTAACGACTGACTATATTTTTCGTTCCAAACGGTGCACTCGAGCAAGCGCTCGAAGAGAGGCGAGCGGAGAGCGCAATGCGTCATGGGATATCCGGCGCAAACAAAAACAGAAAGAAAAGATTACCCGCGTTCGTGGAGTAGCAAGGCAGGCGTGGTTATGAGCTTTGCCCTTGGTGGCGTTGTCAGCGCTGTGGTGGTGTCAATAGCGTCAGCGCGTTACAACCGAGCCGTTCGAAGTACCCGTGGGGTGACGAGCGTGTGGCTGGCCCATGGAGCACGCAGCTTCCACAACACTGTCAGCTTAGGATTGAACGGGGTGGGGAAAGCAACTTTTGTTTGAGTTTTGAGAGACGGGCTAACCTTCTAGGGGGAGAATGGCTGTTTCCGGTTGCACGAACGAGGGTCCGAGAAAGAGGAGAGTCCCTCCTTTCCGTCCTCTTGGACCGTTTGGTACAATGCGCGATTTGTGAGTTGAGCTAGGAGGAAGGCTAGAAAGGAAAATGTTGGAATTCCAAAGGGCGGCGCTGCTCCAGAGGAATCTGCTATGTCACAACTACGTAGCAAGTTTCCCAATGTTGTTAGATTACCTCCCAAATAGGCTCCGCATGCATCCACCAGGTGCACATTGAAAGATTGTTTATTTAGCTTTAAAATTAGTTTTCTTGTGCCTTTCAACGGAAGACGTGTTTTTGAGGTTAGGATGCAACATTCAACACATTCAAGCTAGAAAATGAGCGCTGGAATTTCGTTTCCCTACCCCTTTAAAATAGTGCAATTGACTTTAACAACAAAAAACTTTTAGGGGTGGGAGGTGGAGCTGCAGAAGTTGTACCCTAGCTATCACACACCTTGTTGCTTGAAGAGCTTTACCAGGCTGTTGTCTTGGCTCATCATTACTTGGGCCCAGATTCCAACACTCCTGTGGTCATCTTGATGGCATCTCTCGCTGTAAGTGATGTTGAACTGCCTCTTGATGTTGTGGACCTGTGGGCGCTCAAGGAGGTGAAGTGGTCGCAATGGTCCGCTGATGGAAGTCCTGATGTCCTTCATGATGACCTTTATGGGGACACCCTGGGACAGCTTTCCTGAGTAGTAGAGTACAGACATTACATAGCGCTATATGCATTAGCTGCACAGCTGATGTGTGGCTGGGTCACTGCTGCTTTGTAATATAGGATACAGAGGACACTGGTGTCATCCTCCATTTCCTATGTAAGTAGCATAGACTAATGTGCTAATTGCTTTTGTATAAATCTATAAACACTCTTCTAATCCGTGCAGTTCCATTAAATTATGTATTGCAAATCTGATGTGGCCACAATTGGATCTATGAAACATTACCTGCAATTTCTGCCTTTTCCTTGTCTGTCAGCGTCAGGTGTCCAACATCCATGTCATGTCCATAGTGCTGCTTCTGGTAGACGACGTCCTTGACTTGTCCTTGCGTCGTGACGATCATTGACGAAAAGCACTTGTTTCCGATTTTGCAGCTGCCTTGGCTCTTCATTGTTCTTTGTCCATGTCCTGTCGCAGTTCTCATTTTTCCTGAGCGGTGGCACTCGAAGTACTGCCGCTTGCTGTTATCTGCAAGGGTCTTGGCAGCAGTGCTGCAGACATACTTTGCATGGCACTTGGCCTCTTCATCTTGCTTCCAGGTTGTGAAATCTGCGAATATAATGTGTGACAAACATTTCATATTTGTTTCATCCCAATGAACTCTGCAAACATTTCTTTTTATATGGAAGACCATGCATAGCCAAGGTCTTCTAGTAGAATGAACTAAAAAAAGGCCTTGTTTTGTCTTTGTCCCCATTTCCCTCAATTGTTTCGCTCACGGTGTTTTAGTTTGATTAGTTGCACCCCCATGGTTCCCCCGATATTGTCCCTCACAAAAAATACCTCGGGTGTTACCTTCTTTCAAATTTTGTGACAAAAGAGGCTTACCAAAAACAGCTAAGAAAAATAAGAAACAGAAAATGAAAACGTGCATTTTCATTTAATAGGCTGACGCAGTGGGCTGAAGTGTGAACAAAACATTGTGTCGGACCCAGACAAACTCCTAGCTGAAGTGCACACACAAAAAGATATAAAGATATGTTAAAAGAGTATCGCCGTCAGGTGGCGGTTTTCCAAGAAAAATGGTCCAAGAGCAAACAGCAGTTTGTAAGACCATAACAAAAACAGCATCCTTGCCCAGCTTGTATGGACGATGGTTCTCTGAATGCCCAGAGGGGCCCTGTGGAGATTTTTGAGGTCGCCTAATTATGGTGATAGCTCACTCTGCGAGCTCCAAGCATCCTAGAAATCGTTAACCCTTTTGTTTCCGCGGCATCTATGCCCGTTCTCGCGAGCTGTGTTGCGCAATTCCCCCACGCGGACTGCCGTGTGTGGTGTCGTAAATACAGCTCTACAAATTCTGTTATATAACTTGCAGGTAAACACTTTTTACTTTATTTTATTCGGGAATGTCTTCCGGAAGCAATGCACTCGAAGTACCTTGCGAGTGTGGAAGCTCTTGAAGTAGAAGGGCATGTGAAGCGCCACACACACCGCCCTCTGCAATCACTGCCGCTCTCACCGTCGCTACTTTCTTGGTCCGGTATAGCTTCTGGATTGTTGCCACAGTCACTTTTGTCAACACTTTCAAACACCAGCTCGAGGATTTCCTCACATGTAAGCGTTTTCTTCTTTTGCAACGCCCGTACGTCCCACATTCATGTCAGAGCGCACGTGATTTGGAAGATGGTCAAGGAGTTGAGGTGCGCAAAACCTCAATCTTTGTCAATTTTTAAAATAAAAACTAGGACATGCAGGCAAAAGCGATTTTTGTTCATTACTTCAGAAAGGTCGAGACACCAACTCCCAATTTATTTAAGCAAAGCACTGAAATTGTTCCACAGCTCCTTGAAAAGGGGGAGGCGGCAACGAAAGGCCAATGCACCGGATTGTGGTGGAAGGGCATGCTGTCTAACCTAACCTTACCAATTTACACTCTGAAAAGAAGTAATACCCTATCTTGAAAAAGAAGGCTAAATAATTTTGTCAATTCCTCCTCAGCCTGATGCTGATATTTATTTATGTGCAGAGTCTGGTTGCCGCAGAATGGTCAAAGGCCCGTAGCTGCAGAGTCTGTGACACCATACAGTAGCAGGAGTAAATTACCTTTAGTACCACAAATGCACTTGCTCTGAATTTTTTGCTGGGAACAAAATACTAGGTCCCCACTGTGGCCCGCATTGTAAAAAAAATGTAAAAGCAAATACTTCCTAACACAGGATGGGATAAAGATATGCATTTGGTAAAATACAAAAATGAGAATTTTATGGTTGTTTGTTGATGTGAAAACTCGTGTTCCACAGAAATTTCTCAAATAAAACCAGTCTGCTATCAAAGGGGGAGACGAGTCTCACTGCATATGAGCAAGTTAGCCAGTAAAGTATGAATGCTAGCGGAACGGCAATTCATAAGTGTTTTTCAGTGTAAAAAGAATGATTTCACAGGTTATTCTGCCTTATCCATAGTTTCATATTCGATTGCGACAGGGAACTCGATCTAGGTCACTGCAGCTCAATAGACGACCCGGATCATACTTTTTTGCTTGGACGGGGAAGCTGCTCGCATGCACCCAAGCACACAATGCCTTATTTTCATGGTGAAATATACTGACCCGTGGATTTCTGCGAATAGTCAATTACCACACGTAGTAATGTCGGCAAGCGCTGCACACAAACACCACATAACCCTGGGCGCACATCAGGGAGGATCCTGGGTTCGATCTCTGCTCTAGCCGCACTGCAGTGTGTTTGGATAGATCGCGTATCCTCCTTGAATACGTTGTGTAATGCAGGGGCGGATCCAAGGGGGGGCAGCACCCCCCCCCCCAAACAAAGTCGACACCCCTCCCCTTCCCCCCCCCCCCCCCTTCTCGGAGGGCAATTTGACATGGGTGGACCACCCCGGTGCACAAGAAAGAATGGGAGAATAGTATAAAAATAAAAGAGTTCTATACTGTTTCATACTTAGTGTGCAACGCTGTCAAAGCTTTTGGCGCGAGCATGGGGCTTGATCTCGTTGATCATTTGCACGCCTTCTCGCGCAAACAAAACCTTATAGCCCCTTCCCCTGGCAAATGCCGAGCGCTCCGCTCCAGCGGTCGTCGAGCGGTCGGCCTCCGTGAGCGATCGGTCACGTGATCGATCCCAGGGGCATGCGCTGCGGAGAAAATCGAGCGTAATGCTCCCAGCGCCACCGCTTCCAGGGCGTCTGCTCTCGCTTTTGAACAGTTTCGGTTCCCATGGTTATCTTGCTGAAAGCATGAAGTTCTGATCGAAATTTTATGCTTAGACAAAAAAATGGATTGTTAACTACTTGATTAACGGTGACCTCGACGTTAAGACACAATTTATTTTTCCTTACAGTTATATAAGCCCTATGAAGACAACTAGATGTACTTGTACTAGCCGCAGGATGCTATTAAGCAATACCAAACACGTATGCCGTAAAGCGATCGTCATCTGAGAAGGTGGCTTCCATCTGCAGAGTATTTGGCGTATTGTCTTCTAATTATTCCAATTACATTACAGAGACTACAAAACGAACAAACGACATACCTAGCTCTTCATCCGAATTGGCGCGCACAACGCCTTCGACGTAACGCGATATCTTGTGCTTCTTCGCTGGCCAAACAAACGACTCAGCAAACACTTCGCTGAGGACGGCTGTCTCGTCGTCACTTGAGCTGCAGCTAAGCTAATATCTTCGTCGCTGTCATTGAATTTTATTAGACCTCCTGAAATCCTGAAATTAACTGCAACGATGTCATCGCCGCAGTATGCTCGGGCAAGTCGGTCATGACGAGGGGAACGAAAGCAAGCACAGCAAGAGAGCCCACCCAGCAATCGAAACAAAAAAGCGGCGAAACTCCTTCATTAACGAAACTGAAACGTTGCAAGAGGCGACTACAGACTGTACTCCTCCGAAAAAGGCTGCGCGGAGAACTACTCCGGACCGCTCGACGCGCTCCGCCACTTTTCCACGGAGCGGTTGGAGCTAGGGATGCCGCGAACCACCCTAGGTTCGAATTTGAAAGGTTTCGATATTTTCGAACCAAACTGATGTTCGTTCGATATTTTCGACCGTATGGAGGTTCGAAATCGAAAAATTCGCAACTTTCCAAAATCGTGAGGTTTCGAATTCGAAAAGTTCGAAGCTTTCAAGGTTTATAAAAGTTCGGGTTCGATTATTTCGAATATTTGTTTACTTGAAGTTCGATGAATTCGAAGATTTCGAACTTCCCTAATTTGAAATTCGAGAGATTCGAATGTTTCGAATTTCTTTGGATCTAAAATTCGAACGTTTAAAATTTTTAAAGACAAAGTTTGATAAATTTGAAGATTTTGAATTTCTTTCTACATAAAGTTCGAAGGTTTCGATTCTCTTTTAGGGCTAAATACCAAAAAAAAAAAAAGAAACTTCAAAGATTTCTGATTTCTTTAAGGTCCAAGTGCGCAAAGTTCGAAGTCCGGTTTTCATGTTCCGCCACAGTTTCAGTTTCAAATAACTTTTTTCACTCCTCGCTGGTTTTCACGAAATCAGGTTTAGAAAAGTTCAAATGTGATATTTAGACTGCGCGAAGTTGGCCAGGCAATTAAATGAGACGAAGAGTGCCCCGGATGTGCTGGAATATTTGCCAGTGCAGCGACGTGTAACACTAGATCAGTGATTGTGACCGCCAGCCCGGGGTGGTCATTAACGTGCATTACGAAGTAGTGATCCTACGAACGCACTGTTTAACGATACTCATCCAGTTTGAAACGGCCAGGGGATGGCAGGCGGTTGAGGTTCAGAAAAACCTTGAAGTGATCTGGCAAACTGCCTCCCTACCCCCTTGCACGCTGGGCGCTGGTAGTAATCCGATCGAACGCCGCCCGAGTGACGATGGCATATAGTAAGTTTAGTTTGTGCATGATGCGAAGTCCTGAGACGGAATGAAATTTGAAAGAGAAAGTGTAAGAAGACAGAAGAAAAGAGGACAGGACAACGTCTCAAACTCAACTCGGCTGAGTTTGAGACGTTCTCCTGTCCCCTTTTTTCTTTCTTCTTACACTATTTCTTGCGAATTTCATTCCCAGTCTCGGGATTTTGCATCATGATCAACATACACCAGCTCGCCTGCACCTTGGAAATTGTTTTGTTTGTAATTGCTTTGGAGGTTGATTTTCTGGGGCGGAAGAAACGCCGAGCAAAACGCACAGAAGCTGACGCAACTTGAGGTCAAGGAGCGTTCTACCATACCAGTGGTGTCCGAAGGGGAAAAACGGGGGGGAGGGGGGGGGGGAAGGGGGGGGAGCTCCAGTCTCTCCCCCCCCCCCCTCCCAGATATTTCGGACTGTTAAAGAAAACAATACGGGGAAAGAGGGCATGGTCGAGCTTATTTTAATCTGAAATTATTTATGCATATGCATAGCTGCTGTCGCTCTTCACCACATAAAAGATCGCATAGATGGTCATTATTAAGGCCGG